GATAGATAAGAACTGCTGAAGAATTTTTATACTAATTACATATATATAATCACATAACTCCTTATCTTTTTAGACTTCTTCTTAGCTTATAAAAACTTGTAGAACAAAAGAACCTACTTTACACTATAAATCTTATTGGTTCTGATCTTTTCATAGTATTATTATTTTAAATAACTGAAAATGGTTAAGTTCATAAAATGTATTGAATTAAAAGTTCAATTGTAATTTATAACTATCATTCACACGTACATTCATAATCGAATGAACTAATTGTTGTACTGTGGGTTAATTGTAGTTTAATCATGAATCTTCATACATAACGATTATAGAGGATATTGTTTTACCTATTCAAACACAAAATATAAACTTCACTAAAACTAAAATCTTATATTCTCTTCACATGGATAAACAACTAAACAGTCAGTTAAAATTTATTTTCAGAAGAGGTTTGTAGAGATCCTTATGCTTCCGGGTATTCAATGGTGGTCTAGCTTCAGCTGACTCATGATTTCAATCTGTGAAAATTTCTAAAATCTCCAAAAACCTCTTCTGATAATAATCATCTGCTCACTAGTGACTGACTGCAAGAGATACTCCTGGAGTTTTAGTGGGAATTCATTACCAGTGGAGTTCAAGCACGTCTGTTGTGAGATGTCAGCTCACTGAAGACAATGGTATATGGTGTCGCAACTTCGTGGATTGATTGAAGTTAGACATTAACACCGTTGGATGCCGGCTCAGTGGTCTAATGGCTAGGTCCTCGCGCGCGAAGCTAGTAGGTCCTGGGTTCGAATCCCGCGGGGTACGGGATCGTGGATGCGAACTGCTGAGGAGCCCCATACTAGTACGAAACGGCCGTCCAGTGCTCCCGGGTTTTCAATGGTGGTCTAGCTTCAACTGACTTATAATTTCAATCTGTGGTAAAATTTATTCATTCATCTGTTACATCTTAAGAATATGATTAAGAATTAAGAGCAACATTAATACGGATACGAAAAGTCTAGAGTGTTTATTAGTCATCTGTTCACTTACCCCATCCACTCGAAATCAAAAAGCCAAAAACAGTTCCCTCTATGTCAATCATTTATTTGAAACATACTGGGTTTATTTACAAATCAAACAGACCACATCACACCATGAAATAGAAAATGACATTTAGACAAGATCAACCCAAAAAGTGGTTGTGAGACGGTAATTAATAAACTGAGCAGAACGTAAAAACAATAAGTCGTATTATAATAATCTATAGGTTAAAATGAAGCTTATAATAAGAGGAATATAGATATAAATAATCTAGTTACTGAATGATTATACAATAGGAATATATACATAATATTTGTATATTAATAGTTCCCAGAAGTTACCCGTAACTTAATCTTTACTAGGATATAACACCGACCTTAAATGCTAGTTATTTGCTTTCTACATTATGCAAGTACATAAACATAATATACCCTTGTGGGCCAGGGCAATTTTACATTGGTTAACAGGAAAACCAAACAACATCCAAACAACCGAAACAGTACAGCTCAGTCCTGTGGTGCAACTACACAGATACCAAGCACCCTGGTAGACCATTCTCAACATTCATATACACATTCACGTCACATGTATAGTTATTCCGATCAATGATCACATGAATCATTTATGCACTTCACGGACAGGCCAAAGTTGACCTATTCAGCTTAAACAACAGTCCAACTGATCAGTTTTAGTAATGGCGACATGCCTTACGATGTCCCAATGTCAATGGCCCTTGAGAACATTGAAAAGCAATCACAAGTATGAATGAAATCGGTAAACCAGCAAACCAGTTTTGTGCATGAACAGTCAGCAAAATTTACCAAAGCAATGCCGACTCATCTACAATACCAATGGCGCACCTCCAGTCTCATATGCGACCTTCAGCTCTATATAGTCACATGGCTTATATATATATATATAATGTTTTTATTAAATAATTGAACGTACATTAAAGAAAATAAATGTTATAGCCCATAAAAATTACTTTAATAGGTAGTTGCAGTTGATCGAATATTGACAACTGATAATGGAAAGTTTAATATTATTATTGACCAACATAACATGATGGAAGATGTATCTTTGGCTCATGTTTATTCATAGAAATAAATTTTAAATAGTCAGCATCATATTTTTAGATTTCAAACACTAATCTTTAGTAATCAATTATTATTTGTTAATATTTCAATGGGCCGTCGTCTTAATATCATTACTCAGTGTCACCCCTAGATCCTTATGAGACCGGACTACGGGTAATGACACATCACCTATGCTGTACTTATTAACCTTTGAATCCCCAAGTGCATGTAGACACACGTTTTCGCGTTGATAGACATCAGCCACTCTTTAGACAGGTTTATCATATTATTCAAGTCTGCCTGAATTTATACATCGTCAGCGTATAATAACATTGGAGACTGTATTATACTTGTTAGATCATTAACGTACATCATAAAAAGTAAAGGACTTAAATCGGAACCTTGGGGTACTCCACTAAGTACTGGTTACCAGATGGAGCACTTGGAGTTTATTCTTACATTTTGTCTACTACCTACTAGGAAATCTTTAATTCATTTTAAAAGAGGTCCGGAAATACCAAGGTTTTCCAACTTCAATAGCAGTCTATTAGTTGGCATTTTGTCAAAAGCCTTACTGAAATCTGTGTAGACAACACCGACTGAGTTTTCGTTGTCTGGCGCATTAATCAACAACTCCCTTGCTATAAGGTGGTTTGTTGTACAAGAAAGACCCTCTCATAAAACCATTATGTGCCATGTTCAGCAAGTTATTGGTTTCCATAAATGACGTTATGGTCCGTTTGATTATTCTTTACAGTATTTTAATTACCACACCGGTGAGGCTCACGGGTCTGGATTTCGATGGAACTTATCGTGGACCTGTATTATGTATGGGAGTGACGATTGTGTTCTTTCCAGTCCATTGGTAACACACCTTGGTCAAGTGACATATTGAATATCATAGTCAGTGGGGCCGCGATATATTGGGCAATATGTCTCAAGATTTTGGGGTGTGGTTCATCTGGTCCTGTTGACTTCTCCATGTTTAGGGTGCTAAGAGCCTTATGCACATCGTTTTGATCGAAGTCCACGGCGGGCAGCTGCTTTGTTGACTCTGTATTTGGGTCTAATTCTTTCTCTTGAGGAGGTTCCTGAGTGAAAACTGCCCCAAAGTATCCAGCCAAATACTGTGCTTTTTCCTGATCTCCTTCCATCATTTCAGATGTATGACTGCCGATGTCAATATCAAGCTGAACTTCATTCCTCGTTAATGTCAACGGAGATTTCAAGTTCCCGTCAGCCACAGTCAGGTGTTTAACGGGTCTGGTAGCAGCACTTACTACACTGACTCATTCTTCTCCGTCAGTACTCTTGTTATCATTGCTTCCGCCATCGCTTTTCTTGCAGGCCAAAGCCAATAGACCCATAGCCTCCTGAACTAGTACCTTTTAATCCGTACAGCAGAACATACAAATCCTATGCGAGTTAGGCTTCGAGCATCTTTTGTTAGCCGTCGGACTCAGGCATGTACACATTTTGTGGTACCACGTTTTACAATCGTCACATTGCATTTACCTCCTCCACGAAAAACAAACAATTTGGTTGCCCACATTTGTGAGTCTGACCAACCATTGTAATTCGATTTAAAAGGCATAAAATAACACAAAATGAAAACAATGTGAACACAACTGTTAGTCGGGAGTAAAAAAAGGTAATCAGAACAAAATGTAGCAAAAACGTTGAAAAATTACTGCCCTTTTTGAATTGAGTGCGGTATTAATGAAGAAGAAGAAGGGAAGGAATCTAAGAAAAACAGAATAATTCATTCATGAACCGAATGCTATTCATTCTATATGTATTATATTTACAGAAACAATGAGAAAAGCGGTGAGATAATGAAATGACAGGACAAAATGAAATTGTGTATGACAGTATGTATAATAGTATATCTATACATTTGGATATAAAGTATAGTTGAATGTCTGATTATTATTATTACTAATAATATTAGTCTCAAGAATATAAGTGGTCCATGCACAGATACCACAACATACGTTTAAGGAGACGTTTCGAAAACAAAAATAAGTTAAAGAAAATCTTCTTCTTAAAATAGAAAGAGTATTTATACACTAATCTACTTGTTATAATTTTGTAAGCAGAGTATAAGAAGCCATGATCAAAAATACAGACCCTGGTTAATTTTGTTTTAATCAACTATAGTAAAATCATAATACCCAATCAATTTAAAATATCAAATATAGTATAGAAAGATAAAACGTGTATAATCAAAATAGTCAGTTTGTTATTTTTCTAAAATATGAATGATCAAATATATCTGATTAGAAATGTTCGAGTAAACAATGTACGACTAGCTGGTAGTAGTAGATGGAGTATAGGCAAGAGAATGATCATAGTAACATAAACACTAATCAGTTATAATGATGACAATAATAATAGGGAGAATACCATTTCAAATGTTTGGGTAAGATTACTGTACTAATTAGGCTGCTTAGTGAACTAAACGAACAATGGACTAGATAGATATATAGAGAAAATGAAATTTAAGCGCATACAGGAAAGTGAAACAAAGCGCTTTGAACTATGATCTGAAACAAATACTATAAAAACGTCAATATATATCATTGTATGATCATGAACAGAGGTAAGAGAGAAAGGAATGACAAAATAAAGAGAGAGAAAACACAATGGTGATTTAAACAAATGATTCTAATAACTAACAGAAAATTTTTTATACAAATTACATGTATATAGTAGAAGACGAAATTACAGTTATTACCACGAAATTGTTTGTTATAAACGATGATACTTGTTTGTGATTTGGCGTAACCTGGAGGTCCACTGCATTTTCGGTCGGGATTAATCCCCTCGTTGAAAACATATGTGCCTTGGCTGTGATTTGAATAAAGAACCTTTCTTCTATTGATGGTGCCTATTTGTGGCTCAACAGGAGATGATACTGCGGTACAAATTATACGAACTACGCAAAGATCGGATTCCTAAACTATCTTCAGCTGTAGTATAGACAGCCGGGTTTTGTATAAAACATTCTTCTAATTTCTTTCTACGTTTATCCATGTGGAGGGAATTATTGGTTTCTATTGAGGTATGAATGTTCCAATCTTCTTCAGCAGAATGTTTCAGAAGTTGCGGACTGCTCTTCATTGTAGTAAGTGGACGGTGCGATATAATTCCTCGTTTAAAGGTATTCTTTCTTCGAGTTTCAACAGGTGGAAGCGAACGAGTGGTGGATGTAACTCGATTCAAAGAACTTACGAAACCCGTCCCATTTGCATTCCAAAGACTAACAGAAACATCTGACTCAGCGCCATCGGATGCTGCAACTGCAGAAACACTAGTTCTAGAACAAGGACGAGTCGAAACCACAGCTCCATGGACATTTGATGTGAATTCTGATTCGGATGTGCTCAATAGATGAATAACCATTTGATCAGTTAAAAGTTCAGAAGGAACGCCAAATCCTAGGAATAGCACCCCTTTGAGAGAGAAGGTTTAGGTCTTATCTGATTCTCTATTTCAAACTACTCATAAACCTTACTTATTCAACATGTAAGATAATATTTGCCACAGATTCACATGAATACTGACTTCGAAACAAAGTATCTACGGTCAAAGTTGAGAAATACAGACCAAAAACTCGGGAAAACTTCTTCCTCACCAAGTATGCAATAATATGGAAAAGTCTTCTCTCCGAAACTCGCATGGCAGATGAATTACATACGTTTGTAAAACTCCTTGATCAAGCCCTCATTTGCACTGATCTTGCACGTACGAACACTTCTGCGCCCCACTTAGACTACATAGGCTCTCTCCATGTCTAGATCAAAATGGACTTCAGGTTGAGTTTGCCTTATTTTTCCTACTTTGCAGTTGCACTAATTTTTTTCCACCCTATTTCTTCACTTGAAGTAGACAGGTAAATCACTGGACCTATCATTACTGTTAAACTAATCTCGGTCGATAAGGGACACTCACTATCACACTAAAAAGTCAATAGGTTGCCAGCTTGTGATATTGCAAGACAATTTTCTTTACATAGAACTTCATGTTTTTCTCGAATTAAAAATTATACTTAAGATCCTCAATATATTCATCCTGAAACAACTTACGAATGAGCATTAAATTACTATCCGCTTCCAATTTTATACGACTTGTCAATCAAATACAAGCTTAGAAAGTTGTTTGTGTGGCACACGTTTCCTCCTAAAGACTGGCAATAGTCAGCTGTTCAATGTGAGTTAAGAGGGAGAAAGGTTTGAACTCTTGATAGAACACTCAAAAATGTATTTAAATAATTTAGTCACTATCTAGGACCATTTTTAAGTAGCACCTTAATCAGATATAAACTTAGAAAGCAGTAATTCCAACTGCCTGTTTAAATACCTTGATGAAGCTCACTTGAATGATAAATGGCAGACCTTTTAAGTTCTAGAAATGGAATCAAGCCAAGCTGGCACCAATAAATAGCGCTGACGTTAATCGTTTTCTTTTCTCGATCCACAACTAAATCAGTGTTTATGCAGTTATTTATCAAGGATGAGCTGCTTGTCACTTGTAAGATAAATGCTTGAGTTTTAAATACTGAGTTATGGATCAATATCTCGTCTGTTATAAGCGTTTATAAACACAAGTTACATCAACTCAGTTGAATAGTAAATGTGATTTATCGCAAAGATTAGTACGAACTTGTTGATAGGTGTTATTTTGTTATGCGAGTACTCACAGTTTAACATTATTGAGAGCTTAGAGAAGAAAGTGTAAACTACTAGATGTTTGAGACTGAATTTCTTTTGAAAATAGGCAGTTCTAGATAACTGTAAGGATGTTCTTGAGCGACTCAATAAATATTACTGATAAGTTCAATCTACTCAGCCAATCAGAATGCAACGGATATAAACAAATGATTTATAGTTCTAAAACAAAGATTTTGATTTAGTATTGCAGTTCACGATTAAGACTCAGGGTTAGGATTAGGCTCCAAAGTTTAGCATTTGGATGTAGATTTTATGAATTAAGGTTAGGATCAGTATAGAGAATTAATGGTCTAATGTTACTGTTAGGATATACTTTAGCACTTGAAGTTGGTTATTATTTACGGCAAATATAGACTAATTGCAAACTGCAACACCCCTTAAATTCTAAACCTTAATCCTAGCTATGGACATGAATACTTAACTTGATATTCTAGTCCTAAACCGTAGCACAAACTCTAAATCGGAATCATAGTCGTAACTAAGGAATTAAGTATCTACTGATACTTCATTCAGTAAAATGCGTCAAGATGTCTTTGTCTGTTAGATGATTTATGTTACAATCAATGGGCAACAATTCCACATTGAGGTCATCTATTTCATTATCGGTAGGCAGTAAGGTGCTTGGAGATGCAAATCACGGTCTAACAGCCATTAGGACATACACCATCAAATCATAATAATAGTTCAATTTTATCAGGTGCATTCTTAGTACTTTTATTTCACATTGGCTAGAAGTCATTGAGGCTGATAATTCTAGTTTTATTTTGTGAGTGAACCTTTCATTATTGATACAGTTCACTGTCTGCCCTAGAAAGATCATGGCAGATTACTATTACAGAACGCGAAATCTTACTCAAAGAATGTATGTGAGGATTTTTATTGGGAGCAATAGATAGGAATGATGCTAACCGTTGTTTGGTTTCTGACATTGTAGAGCTGAAATACTAAACGGTATTGGCGGCAATGTTGTCGTGTATATGAAAATTGTACCTTAACAACTCAATCTGTTACGGCGAAGACAAATGATTCATAGACCTGTGAACTGGTAGGCAGTCGGTTGAAATTTCGAGGGATAAGACGCTGGTTTATTTTTAGTATGATACAAGTCAAATAAAGTTCCTTACACCTGTAGGGGGAATTAATCATTTGGCTATCTTATGCAAATTCATGGCTGATATAGTTTATCGAGCAGATGCCTCGGCACATCCTAACATGTGAAAGAGATATGAAAAGGTGATCAACTCCACTGATTAGACGGAAAATTAGAAAATTGATTCTGACGCATTGATGAGAGAGAAATGTACTCATTGCCAGTGTTTATACAATCAAGTAATCAATTATACCCTCAACAATCCCAAAACGGATAATTAACAGCCATATCTGAATAAACAATGATATTCGAATTTCAGTGGGTAAAAAGATGAAACGTTGAAAACTCGCCACCATCCTCGACAAACGAAATACGACGGAACAATGCAGGTCGGTTCGAGATAAGCGTATGAGCCAAGTTCGAGCAGCGCAACGAAAATATGAGAGGCATTCAACACAATGTGTCATCCCACAGCCTAAGCGACTGCTATTGCATATCAATTGCAGAAAGAGAACACATCATTGGATTGTCATTCTAACTAAAAAAGACAATGTGTCTCAAATGACAGAGGAAGATCACGGCAAGGCAAACGACATAGCGGACTGTTTCGGGATAGGTTTCACTCAGAAACCTAGACGAAAGTCATCAAATAGGCTACTCACTGTGATGTTTGTTTGAGACTACGTGATGAAGAGCATCAGCAATGTACCAACCGAAATTCCAGTATTTCATCTAGATTCAAAGCCAGAGAATCAAAGTATGTTTGATTGGACTCACTGAAGTAAGTAAGATGTAAGCCACATCTTCAGAAATGGATATCACAAATTTATTATTTATTTATTTGTAAAAATATACCGAATGCTCAATTTATTCAAAATTGTCAAGTCAAACCTTGGTAACGATAACTACAAATTAAATAATTACGTTCTACTCAGCCAAAATGAGGCGTTCAGAAATATTGGACGTGAAATAGCATATTGAATTATTTTTTTCTGGTTAACTCGTCAAATAAAGTATAACAAGAAAAAAGTAATTCAATCAGCTATATAACGTCCAATATTTCTGAAGAACTCATTTAGCCTGAGTAAGTGATTTTTCGACAGAGAGATACTCCTCAGATCGTGTTTACCAACTGAGATGTCTGTTGCGTGGTGTCGACTACCAGTTGATTATGAACACCGCTACTGAGTAATACGTGCCAATAAAATAATAAGACAGAATGTTGACAAGTTTATTTGATTATCGATCTCGTGGTATCGAGAGAATACCAAGATCGTGTAGGTCGGAAGAATTGGCGTAATAGAAAAGCGATGGTTGATGGTCGAGCTGCCAACGAAGGTCTTTTTCGGAGAACGGTACCAGATGCAGTTTGTTGTATTTTTGATCGAGTTGGCATACCACACCAGAGTGGTTTGTATCCAGAATCTGAACATTGCGTTCGTACGGATGCGGACTAGAAATACTGCAGACGTAGGACGAATCCACGTTGAACCGAGGAACCAGAAGCGACCATTACGAGCAAGTTCGAGACCAAGCGTATGCCAAACACTGGAAACCAAAATATCGACTGAGTGCGTTGACAAGACCGTGGTTGGTCAGACCGGCTTTCGACAAAGTTGGCTGAAGTCGACGGTACCAAACGATTATAATCGGATGCATTGTCTCAGGATGCAGAAAAAATCAAAAAAGAAGAAGAGTGTAGCATGCATTTAGTATTGGAATAGTCCTACACTGTATCGGTTAGTGACGGTGCGGTTAGTCGCGAAAGCGTACAGGCAACAGTACTTGGCAACCGGAACGTGAGACTCTAGTTTCGTTTGCATCCCGTGAGCCTGCAATCTTATCCGAAGTCAAGGGCGTCGTGGTCTGCTTATCTGGATAGATAAATAATAGACTCACCGCAATAGCCTTCTTAGGAAGATTTGACCAGAGGTTAAGACGTGTTCGTACGTTTGAGTTTACCAATTGTAGCGTGGAGTCGAGGCGCACTTGACTATGAACACCACTACAAGAGGACTACGCGCCAGTTAACCGATAAAATCACCCATAGACCAAAGACATCAGAACGCAGTCGATGACTGTTGTCGAGATGTGTTTGTTGGCGATTTCGTAGGATCGAAAGAATACCGAGATGGTGTCAAAGAAGTACAAGTGTGGTTACTGAGCCTAACCTAATTCGTGCAAGATCACAATCAAAATAATGAAGCAGTAATATGGCTGACTTTAGCACAGTTAAAAAATCACTGGTACAATTGTTTATAATAATAATTGTTTACATTAAACCAATCGTGTTCTCGTGATAAAAGTAAGTCACTACAAGTCAACCTTTACTAGTGATGCATATCTTTTGAATTTAAGTGTGGTTTCGGTACAGAGTGGGGAACTTGCCATCTTTGTTTTGAGACGACTAAGCAATTGGCAGTAAAAAGACTGCACAAACAATAGTTTGATGCTAAGATTCATATTGTAGGTGATCACTATTCATTAAGATTTACTTAATAATCAACCAAATCACTTCATCAGTCATCCGCTGCAATCAACGTGAGATGGAATTCAGATTAGAGTGCTTGTTATTTCATCAT